CCAGTTTTTCAATCAAATTCTATTGTAGGAATACTGACGTTCCTAATCTTGAATTCGGTACTAATTATTCATGCTAACTCCATTTTGCGCGAATTTGGAAACGTCAACACGAAATGCAAAAACTTGTCACCACGAGGAATCGAACTAGGGACCCTTTTCTGGTATTCAGAGAGCCGTTCAGGAAAAATGAACCATGCTTCTGTGGTCCCCATATGTGCCCCAATGTCATGCAAGAAACCATTTTGAAAAAGCTTGGCACACCCTGAACGACCTCCCTTGTTAGACGCAGTCGAAACGCTCCCAACCCCACCCACCTTTTCACCCATTACCCAATATTATTCCAGCCATTCTCCCAAATGCGACCTCTGCCAATTGCGCAACTCAACAGCGCTACTGTTCGGCGGTGCTGAGTGAGTACTCACTTTGCTGTCAGTTGAACTGATGCCCTTAACAAATAAGAATTTGGGAGACAGCTTAGCAACCACGCGACTCTTATTCAGCCTTGGGCGCAGTGCATAGTGGTCCGGTGATTATACCTTGAAAACAATTTTCAACATTTGAGCTGGCAAGCCCTCACATACCTTTGTTGTTTTCATCGTCCAACGGTTGCTTAAGCGGTGTGATGTCTTTAAATTGGCACAAATAGAGAACCACCGAGTCTTTGTCGTTTTTAATTGGTGCCAAGTGAACTAACAACCAGATAGGCGTTTCTGAAATCAAACTACTCCTTCTCGTCCAATTTTCACAAAGAAATGCACTGGATTTTTGAGATGTTGAGAATTTCTGGAACGTCACAATCAATACTGAATGAGGCTTAAAAAAAAAAACAGAATCTAGTATTCCAACTAATCCAAAGAAATTTGCAACGAAAAAGGTGGAGCAAGGTGAACGTACTGTTCTTTTTACAAAGTCCGATTTCGGCTTGGTCCGTTCGGCCATTGTCCAGGGCTTCTTGAATCCGGACGAAATTCGATGACTCTCCGTGCTCACCGTGCAGGAATGCCAATCTAAGATTTCAATTTCTAGCTTTTAAATGGCTCTTTTTTATCAGAAAACATAAAGGCACTGGTCAAGATCGAATTGGTACGATATTTTTGTTGGGAAATTAGAAAAGACGTGCGAAGAGGAACAAGTGGAGAAAAAAGCAAAAACTGTCATGGAGAACACTAGTGAGGTCGACCGCGGTGCGACGAAGAGACTGCACTGCGAAGAGAGAAGAGAAAACGCGAGAGAGCACGTCGTACGCGAGAGGGCGCAGACGCCACGTATGCCGCGATTGATAAGAATGGCAGCGGTCGCAGCGGTCAAGCAAAGGCATTAGCTCCTTTTTGAGCACATTCAAGTCGCCGCAGTTAGAGCTCTTGCGTCCTCGTTCATGGGAGAATGATTCAAGGATTAATCGCCCGTGCCTTCAAACTTTCATTTTACGACAACACAACAACATATATCTTCTAAGAATGGTCCCAACCCCAGCAAATCCGATTGCAAGGCTTCTCCAAATGGGTGTCATCCCCCTTCCCAAGGCGATTGCTGGCAGCTGGCCGGCTGCTGTCAACGCTATCTCGTCCACACAGCTTAGATCAACTAGTGGGCGGATCGCTTTTGGGGGCGGAGTGCTTTCAAAGTCCTGCTCAGCAACCAGCGCACCTTTCGTTGTGAAAGCGCTCTTCCCTGGCAGCCAAGTAACTGATTCGTGTGGTGTATATGCTTCCCCGATGCGCTCCCACTTTATCGTAATCGCTGCCTTTAAGAAAGAAGCTTCTGGAAATTACTTATATGATGCTTGTTGGCCACTGTACTGTGCAAACTTGGATCTATCCGTAGGGGAACGAATTTCGGTATTTGCATGTCTAACCTTCTTGCACATTATCCCACACGATCCCAGTACTGAGGCAATTCACATGCCTCATCCTCACCTCTATTCTATCTTTTAAAGTCCTTTGACAGGGGAAGGTGCCCCATAAATTACACTTACGATCCCCTTCGTTGGGAATTAATTGATGGAGGATTGAGTCCTGGAAGGAGTAGGCACTTCCGAAAGGCTCAGCAAGACCTCTGCTCAAATGCTGGGTGCTTCATAGTACGGAAGCCTTTCTAACCAGGAATGACCTTTCAGGTCGTGCTCAGCTTCTCCGCTTCTTTTTCGCAATAAGGGCACGTCATTGAGCATAGAACAATTTAATTCCCTGAGCGACCGTCCGAACGACAAAAAGAACGAGAAATTCGTTCACGGTTTGATTCCCCTTGATTACGAAAAATTGCGTTTTCAATTGGCGCTTGCATAAAGTCGAAAAATGGTAAACAAGGTGCTTATAAACGATCGGGACTATTGGTGACCCAATGGAATAGGCTTCCAACGGAATTGGTGTCAGAAAGGTGTGCCGCTTGAGGCCCCTCCACTCCTTTCTCGGCATTGAGGGAGGGGGGCGGGGGCGCTCAAGAAAACTGGACCACATTGCTCTATTGATGTGCCCTATATCTTCAAGCCAAGTTTTAAAAAGTTGGTCATGATGACCGAAAAACTCTGGGAGGAGCTGGTAGCTTAACAGCACTGCCTATTTCTTCCGTTCCATGTTTGTTGTGAGTCAGATTTACATATAATCTGCCATAGACGCCCAGAAACTTACGAGCAAGGCTTCTGCATGATCTCCGCCCGTGAGTACCCGACGAGCTTCGAGAAACCGTCATTACAGTAGACAATCGGATAGTCGACCACTTGTGCGTTGGCGAGGATAAATGACGTGTCTGAAAATCAATTGAATTAAATTAAATGAAAAAGGACCATTTCGTTGAATATGGATTCAAGAGAAAGGAGCGAAATAAGTAAATACCATTGAAAATTTGATAAAAGATTTAAGGGTTTGGACTCGATACATCGTTGTTGTCGCATTTAACAGAGAGAAAGAATTGGGTACTTTCTCACTGTAATAAATATATTCCGGGACAAGCTTATCGTTGGGAATCTAGGATACTTACCATTTCTGCTTATTTTGACTCCACAAAGGTTTTCTAATCAAATCCACTAACCTTTTCATCTTGCCTTGAGCACACTAAAATATGGATTCATTATCAGTATACAGAAATGATTATAACATTACGCGACTGACTAGGCGCACGGAGCGGGCCAGGTTCCCACTAAGCGCGCTTTTTCCGAATTTCCATGGCAAATTAGAATGGCCCGCAAATTGACCTACTTAATATTAGGTTGTCCAATAATTAGTGAATCACTACATTTGTTGCTATAAAAAATCCGAGAATCCTCGAGGCATATTCCGCTAAGAAGTACCCACAATTGTCCTACCTAAGCAATTAGTCAGCCCATTCACATGTTGCCTTCCGAGGCTGAAAGTTCACTTTTTCTGAAATCTATTTCGAAACACGACATGAAATCGCCATGTTCCCTCTGACTCTCCAGATTTCCTTTTTTTTTCATCCTGTGTATTCACCAGCATTGAGAAGTGGGAGGAGTGTGCTAGAAACCACAGGAGCAGTAAGCCTAAGCTTGAAAGGTTCGGGAGTTCTGACAGCAAAAGCCTCAACCTCCTCTATGTGTGACACTTCTGAGATGTTAGTTGAGCGCGAAGGGACCTTGCGGTGGAAACCGCCGCCCAGTAATACTAGGGTCACCGAATAGGGCAAACGTCGACAGCATAACAGCGATGTCTTCAATCTGAACGTAAACCAAGACAAAGTCTGGTTTTCTCGGAGCTTACTTCGACCCCACCTTGCGGAGAATACTTGTAAAAAATTGGAGACCTTCAGGCTAGCCAGTTCTTCCAGTTCCGCAGTGTAGCCCTATCTTTGTATCAGCGAAAGGCAATCTAGCCTCATTTGTAGCACTCACGCTAAGTGACAAACCACTCAAACCCGACTTCCGATTTTTCTTCGATCAATAGCTCCTGGATTTATAGAGAAGAGACAGCGACTGGATCCTTATGTATAGGCAATAGTTCGTAAATAGCAAAGATGTATGTTTAACCCTTTGACGACCGTGTGGCCCGCCGGTGGGCCACACTTTCGCTCGGTGGCGACACTTTTTAGGGGTTTATTTTGGCATTTTTTATGTTTCAAAACTACACAAATACATCATCGAATTCGCGGAATAATGCGCTAATTACTAATAGTGAAATTGTTGGAGAGTTAATGATTATTGATGAAAAAATTTAGAAAGAAGTGAAGTGACGCATTCATAACGGCGGTCGTCAAAGGGTTAATGAGCAAGCTTGCAAAAAAGAAAAAAATTAAAAACCCCCAAAGTGATTCACTCAAGTATGTGGACCAACTAATACAAAGATGTATGCTATACGAAGTTATTACGAATTATACTAAGGTTGTCGGAAAAGTCTTTGCGCATTTGGCAACTTTTTTTCAAAATTGTTTTTCTTCTTTAGAAAAACCAATCCATTTGCTAACATTATCGTTCACCAATAGCAGTGGACTTCGTTGGCAGCAGCTCTCCGTGAGCGAAACATTTGCAGCCTCATGAGCTTTCAATGTTGCCTCCCAAGTTGCAGTACTCGAATCGGCGTTGCAATCTTTTGTTCTACGCATCCGAGCCAGTCGTGCTTTCGAGAGCGGTAAATCTGAGGATCCCACTTCTTGACACTACCAACAAAGTTGGCGGATCAAGCGATAGACGGGCGGGAAATCAAAATATTCTTGCAGAATTTAATGGTCTCAATAGCGTGTAGTCAGTCAGATCTCAAAATATGCTTTCGCCATAATTTCACTTCTTTTAGAGGCTATATTGAGGAACGGTCATTGTGATCTGAAAGAGCTCCGCCAATTACCATGCATTGCACTAAGCACTCTCCAATCGAATTCAGAATGCACTCGTCAATGAGGGTGGCAGGCCGATCAGATTTGTGGTTTTTTTCGCAAGTATCTCGAACTCGGCAACCAAATAATCACCATATTGTGAAAGATAGTTCAGAGGATAATCACGACATGTAGAACTCCCACTGCTTCGCTCCTATCAACGCATTTTAGAGGCTTATAAAGGCAGGACCAGTTAGACATACCTTCGGTGAAAGGCGATTTTTAAGCTTCAAAAGCTGCGAAATGCTACGACAGAAATGCTGTGAAGAGAGCATTAACCACCGCTCATATGCGTATGACAGTGAATGTTTCAAAACAATTCGAAAAGATTTTGCAAGGTGAAAATGAAAATGCGCAAGAACTTTTCCGACAACCTAATATATATCGCTATATAATGACTAATGTGTTGCAATAAAATACATATCAATTCTCAATGATCCCGTGAGTGTTTGCACCCCCATTGCCCCCCAATGTCAGCCAGCTACGGTAATCTTGAACGTATAAGAGGGCAGTCATATTTTTTCCGCCATACAACGACGATTTTATCCCCAGCAGTTTCTTATTCAGCAACAAAATGCTATAGTTCATGGTAATAATTTAAACAATTACTCCTGCCCAAATGGGCGGAAGTGGTGTAGTGACAAGTGGCGCGCTTACCACGCGAGCGGTCCGGGATCAAATCCTGGGTCGTGAGTCGCCCGGGCCAACCAAGCCTTCCATCCCTCCGGGGTCGGTTAATTGGTACCAGACTTGTCTGGGAGGATAAAAACACTGACTTGACATCGGCTGGCCCCCGCAAGTCATTGTATAGGCCACATCGCATTCAAACGCCACTACGAATGTACAAATGGAAGTAGAATGCGTGCCGCATCCCAAAAAGGGATTGATCAACGGCAAATGCTTTATCCTTATCTGTCCAGAATTATTACACATTTAGATGAAAGTACATTATTAATTTAGATCATCTATTCAAAATTTATTTCAAGTATAATGTTTAACGAACCTGCATTGTTGCACCGTCTGATGACGTTCTCTAGGAAGGTGTTCTGTGGGGCGACGAGACCGCGTTTTGCGACGGGCATTCTCTCATCACATAGAACGTGTGCGACTAAATTTGAAGCATGTTGGAACATTCGGACGAAGGAAACACGTGTAGGAATACGTCCGCGATTGGAAAACGACGAAACGAATGGGGCAGGAATACATCGCCCTCATGGGCGGTTCTCATCCCATTGCTTCAGACAAAGTTCTTGTCTAACAAATAACAAATAACGATGGCATTAGCAATAACGTAGGGCTAAAAAGAGAAGGAGATGCACGTGAAAATGAGCCATATTCGCTAGTGTATTAATAGAAAATGTGGTGACAATCTTAGCGCTCAAGTGCGCTATGCGAAGGAGTCGCACATCGTCCATTGGCGATCGTCAGAGCAGCTCATTCATGAATACTGAAGTCGATGCGAACCTAGCGCAGAACAACGGAAGTGAAAGGAATTTGGGGGTTTTAGTTCTGAATCAGCAACAAAATCGACACAAGTCATTTTGTCATTTCTGTAGTATTACTCAGTAGGATACCGAAGCAGGTGAAGCTGTGATTAGATGGCTTTCAATTGCCTAGCCCACGGGTTCGAATACCACGGCGGTCAGCAGCGTCCCTCACTTCATGAGTGACTTTTGATGAGGCATGATTGGGAGTCTGTAAAAAGGAATGTCTCAAAGAGCGATCGGTCCACATGGGTCATTGCATAGATCAAACACGCATTCAAACATCTTCATGATTCCGGCTACGGTCAAATGCGCAGCGCACCTATAAGGTATCATTGGATTAAGCTTTTAATGTGCTTCTCAAGGACGGCAATAAAAACTTCTGCACTGTGCAAGCATAACACCGAGCGTACAATTCAAGGGCAAGGATAAACATAAACTGGACAAAATGCAAAAAAGATGGGATAAAGAAAGAAGCTTTCGGAGGTATAGCGAATAAGTACTAAGACTGGCAAAAACACAGCTTTTGATTAAAAGCCAGAGTTTGCGATGAAAAGGCAGCCCTTCAGAAATCAAGATAGAGGTGGTGAGTGGTGCAGGGATAAAAAAGGGATGAAGCATACGGGAATGATCATTCCCGTTTTGGGATGCGCCACGCATTCTATTTCCACTCAATATCGTAGTGGGAATTTCAATTCGGCTTTGCCTATACAATTACTTGCGGGCAGCCAGCCAAGGCCAGTATTTTTTTTTACTTTCCCAGACAAGTCTGTAGCAATTAAGTGAACCCGGAGGGTAGAAGGCCTGCTGGCGAAGACGACGCACGACCCAGGATTTGATACCCAGACCGCGCGCGTGGTAAGCAGCTACACTTGCCACTACACTACTTCCCCCCATTGGTGGTGGAAGATGAAGAAAAAACCCATAAGAAACGGCACAGAACCCGAAAAATGGAATCTATTATCTGCCCGTTGTTCCGGCCTCGGCTTTTGTTCTCCGAAAAGAACGCAGGTGTGAATATAGCTCTCATGAAGAAAAAGGCAGCAAATTCAAAGCAAGAAGTGTTTTCCTCTCAATTGTGGGCAGATTTTTATGACAAAGCAAAAAAACAGATGAAGAGCATTGAGGAATCATCGAGCCAAGCCGCAGCATCGTCACGGTGACAATCGCGTCAGCGTCGACGAAATGATTGCGCTTGATGTCGGTCAGACTCTGCGATTGCATCGCGCGATGCAGTCGCTCTGCCAAAAGTGCAAGGGGCAATGGCCCGCCGCGATCGATACCGATGTCGACTGCATCGATGTGGGCGGGGCCAATCGCCCGTCGCTTGTGCACATTGCAAGAGCGACTGCATCGCGCGATGCAATCGCAGAGTCTGACCGACATCTTACGACGCTCCCCCCTTCCTCAGCGAGGACGTCTATACGCCCCTTTGTCCGATCGACTAATTCCAATTATTCTTATTTATTTTTTTTTTTTTTTATTCTTATACCTGTACAAATCCTTCACACATTAGGAGGCAACCCCAACACTGTTTAAAGCCAAACACACGTGCCGCAATCCCAAAAGGGTTCGTCAGCGCTCATTTTATCTATCTCCTTATGGGATCGAATGAACGATGAATTTAGACGCTATACAAAATCGGGACATCAGAATGCGGAGAACGTTTTTTTTTTAGAGACGCTCACCATCAGTTAGTCAGTAGTAATTTTGGCACCAGTTGCTGCCACTCTAAATAAGACATATGTCTGGTTGCGACTTGGGCTTACGCTCCAAAAGTCCACCCAAAATCTCAATGTTCCAGAATTCAGCGATAACATCCGCATGCGAGCAGGAGGTAAAATCGGCAAAAATGAATCAGAAAAAAAACTAGAAAAGCAGGAAATAAAGGTTAAACTCGTAATTATCAAGCCAAACATTATCAATTGTGAAAGGATTGAGAATGCAAGAACAAAAAGAGAATGCCCAAATCAGGAAAGAGCGGAAAGTAGAAAGAAGCACTACATACATTATAGCTGTACTTCGCGCTCCGATCACACATCGAATAGAGCGCAAAATTGACAACTGGAGCGTGGCAATTCGGAATATAATATCAAATGTACATCCTCTGTTGAGGACTAATGAATCATTAAGCGGCGTGAAGTGGTGTAGCTGCAGGGGCAAGCTTACCCACGCGAGCGGTCCGGGATCAAATCCTGGTGTCGCCCGGGCCAACCAAGCCTTCCATCCCTCCGGGGTCGGTTAATTGGTACCAGACTTGTCTGGGAGGATAAAAACACTGACTTGTACATCGGCTGGCCCCCGCAAGTCATTGTATAGGCCACATCGCATTCAAACGCCACTGCGAATGTACAAATGGAAGTAGAATGCGTGCCGCATCCCAAAAAGGGATTGATCAACGGCAAATGCTTTATCCTTTATCCTTTATTATCCCCCTTAATGGTCAATGGATTAGTGTTAAACTAATCCATTAACCCATTAACGATTATTCAGAAAAGTGAAGATGGATTCTGAGAGACTTCACATCTAGTTTTTGAATTTTGTACAGCTTTTTTTTGAGACATGTTCTACTTACCAGGGAATGCTTTCAACTTCCCATGATCAATAGAGTGATGAATGCTACAAATACTGAGAAAAAACTGCTACGTGAACATTCAAGCAAATCGTGGGCGGTCAAAGTTGACAGGAAGGGTAGCGTCAGTATAGGAGGCGAGCTAATCTAACCGCATCGGCGTTTTTAGTTTTTCCTGAAACAGTACCTATAGGGGTAAACAGATGGCCTGGTCACGAATATGACATTCATTTTTGAGACAGAGGCGATCTGGCGCCAGTTTGGTGCCGCAACTCACTTTTTACTGCATTTCTTGCAACTTTGACTGCTCACAACTTGTCTAGAAAGGTCGCGTTTGGTCAGTTCGGTTTCGAGCAGTTTTGGTTTACATATGTGGACAGTATTCAGCAGTCTACCGATTTGCCTGGGTTTCCTCGAATTTCCATGATAAGTTGGACGTAAGTTGTAAGTTCCTGGGTTGAATATATATGTATCTTTGTTGAGGATTTGTCGAGGGAGTTGCGATGCTGAAGCGAATCTTCTTTCTTCGAAAGACCATAAAAATAATGAGCTTGGAAAATTCGGTGAGTAGCATGCAAAAGTAGCAACTGCCGCTTCCTAGAAGTATTAAAATTATTATAATTCTGAGCTCACAGGACAACTCCGGCAACAAATGGCGGAGTTTCCGAGAAAATCCAAAAATTAGTTCCTTCATCGCCGTTGCGAGGGAATTCACTCATCATATTTACCCATAACTGCCCCACTCTTCAAGAACTGAGTCGGATTTTAATTGGAATTTGCCCTTGACTACGGACTTTAAGCCTGACATCTTGTCTACCGGACTCTTTCAACCAATAGAACATGAATATCACATCAGGTTTGCACGAAAGCGCAGGCCCCTGTGGCGCGGATGTCACGACTGTGGCGCCAGTGCCCGCGGCGCAGGCTACAGGCTTACTCGCATCGGAAGTCATGTAATCTTCATGCTGCAAATTTAGTATCGCTTTCCTTCTTATTGAGCTTGTTATATTGTGCCACGTGTGTTGGCTAAACATTTGATAGTGACAAGTAAAAAATACATACACGTGAGATTCTTTTTTGTTGATCACTAGAAACTACAAACTAAACTACGCAATTACGACACGTGCACCTTTCGGAAACAAACTTTGTGTTCATATCTTTGATCTAAACTACACTGCGACGCATAATCTTAGTTCCACCTACAAATTTCCCAAAAACTAGAATTTGGAGATGTTTTTGAAAAGGGCTCTACAGACAAATTGTGACACATGCAAATGCGAATCTGAATATTATCACGGAAATCCAGTTTGAGAAAGCAAAAAATTTTTATCCTCATTTTTTCGAAAATACCCGACTTGCCTATGACGCAAAATCATAGTTCCACCACATGTTTCTCTGCTGCATTTTGCTTTTACCCAATCAAATTTTGAAATTATTACCCACTCAAGTCCCTTAGCTTATAGCAAAGGCAAAACCGCTGTCGAACTTCCGTAAAAGGAAAACCCTAGCAAAAGAGACGCAGGAGTTGTTGAAGTGTCAGCTCACGCTAGAATTTGTCGGGGTGGCTTCATAACGAACAAGTTTCTCAAGGATGCTACAGGATATGATTCTGGGAAGAACCCTGATTACTATCCGACCGAGATAAGCGCCGTATCGTGAGAAAATAATACGACTTTATCCAGACGGGTACGGAAATCAAAACTTCTTCAAAAGTTAGTGTCTCAATGGAAGCAGTTTCACGTGTTTTACAACACGCTCGTGACAGTCCATGTCTGGAGGATAAGAAATACGCTTTCAGTGAGAAGAAATCAGAGAGAAAAAACGAGCCATTTTTCTTTGAAAGCTCAGAGTGAAGCGGTGGCATTCTTTCATTTGCGACTTTTGATTTGCGTCTTTCTTTCTCTTAACGTTTTTCTTTCTCAGATCGGTTTTCTACTTCGTAGCACACATGTATGGAGAAGAAAATGATCAGGAGGATGGTCAGAGGTTCCAAAATATCACAGATAAAAAGTGTCCTCACTTCGCTCTACTTAGCAAAACTTTTTGAGAAAAATGGCTCGTTTTTCTCTCTGATTTC